TTTTACCTTGTATTTTAACTTAATTTCAGTGTTATTTGTAATAATTTTCTAATAGTTTATCTTTACTGTTTTTGGTAGGTGTACTGCAATAAAGTTGTTTCATGTAATAAAAACTCAATGGTATATTTAATTTCAATTTCATCACTAGTTAAATTTTCTTGTTTTTCAATTCTACTTTTTTCTATAAATATATATGGTATGATGCAAATTTAGTTGAGAATAATGTATCTTCTGGTATAAGGAGATAAGTTATATCATCTAATCACTAAAATCATGACATTAGTATCATTTAATCAATTTCTAAAAAAATATTTCTAAAATTAAACAAAACAATCTACATGTCATTCTTTGACTGATGAGAGACTGACGAGAGGGGATAAATTATCTCCTTATATGTGGACATACATTATTCTCTTTTAGTTTATGTTTGTTTTGGCTTGTCTTTAAAAAGAAATTATTTAAAAACGCTTTTGTCAAAAATAATTATTTTTCTTTAATAGATTGATAATGTATGGAACTTTTATGTATATATCTTTTTATCTTTGATATAATCATAGGTAGGAATTCTTTTTCTCAAGGCCAAATAATTACCACACAAATTATATGATAAACAATATTATTTGCGTTTAATGTGAAATTAAAGATTTTAGTTATTTACTGGAAACTTCAATTTCCCGTTTTAAAATTAATCCATTAAATATTTAAGTAGAAATCTATTTGTTAATTAATTTGTTTTTAATTTTTTTATTATAAATTAAAGAATTAGAAGTAATGTATTATATTAATTAAATGGATTAACTATAATTTGAATTGAAGAAAATCCTACATTTATTTACATCATCTGATTTTTTTTTTAAAAAATCAAGATATTTTATTATCTAAAATTAAATATTCCTCGTTTTATTTACTTTTTCAGATTTTTTTATATATTTTAAGATATGGGACTTGATTTTTTATTTAAAATATTGAATTCAATTTGAGCGTACCATTAAAATTTATTAGAATTGATTATTTATATCAAAATGTATTTAATAAATTTGATTTGATTTTTCAATATATTTATATGTCTTATATTGGTTTCAATGCGATTGAAAACTTTCTTTAAACCATTACTTTCAGATATAAACATTTCAAACATATATAAAGTTAACATATTTTTATTCCCAATTTTAATTATTTACTATCCATCAAAATAGTATGGAAAAGTAAGAGATTGATAAATTGGTTTCATAAAGTATTTTTAACTACAAAACTAAAATTATTATTGCTTAAGGATAATATACTTATTTCTCTCATTTGGGAGAAGAGGGGAAGGAAAATAAAAGTGATGGGACCCACCAAAGTGAGAAGAAAGTCTAGAATTGAAAAAAAAAAATTGCATTTACTATAATACTCTTATATTTATTATATATTCATATTATATAAGGGGCAAAACTGTATATTTAATAAAAATATATTTCTCTCTCTCCTAATTCTTTCATGTTTCTTTCATACCAAAGAACTCTTACAATCAACTCATTTTCTCATTTATTTCTCTCTACTCATAGTCTTTCTTTTTATCTTCTCTCTTCCTATTTTCTCTCCTAAACCAAATAAAGTAACCAACTTGTGATCACTCAATGGATTCAGAGGAAATGGATTTAGGAGGGATGAGAACAATCATAAAATCATCAATATTAGGGCTAAAATCCTAACAAATAAGCATTTTGAGGATTTTAAAAAAAATGTATATACTCAATAAAAAGAAAATTAAGTGAAGTTTTTGTTGTGCTTCATTCAAGGCACAAGACTACAAGCACCACATAAATAATGCTTAAATTACAATATGTGACAACTACTAATAATAAGCCCATTTGATTTAAAACATCAAATAAAGTCACTAGTCCAATTTTTGTCCTATGAACTAAAAGCATGGGCATACACCTCTTTTAGATTTCATTTTCCTATAATTGATCTCTAAATAATCAAAATATTTGTCAAAGTGTGTGTATTTTTAATTTTCTTCTTTTAACATATATATAGTTATGGAACTCAAAAATGACTAGGATTGTTCCATATTAAATTGGTGATTGCACTCTAAGTTAATATCTCTAATGCAATTGCAATTTGGCGAGGATCCACTTACTCCATGAGTAAGTTAAAATAACTTACTTCACATTTTAGTCATCCGTTCTATGAAAATCTAACGGTTCATATCTACTCACTAATTCAAATAATTAGATTTGCTTAGAATAAATGGTTAAGATGTGGAGTAGATTGTTTTAACTTAATCCACTGCGATTGTAATTTATACAGAATTTGGACCAACATTTTTCTTCTCTTTCATTAATTTATTTGTTTATATTATAAGCAATCTTGCAATGCTAAGCTTGAAAGGATTAAAATTCTTCAACTTTAACCTTCATATCCTTAACATAGTTAGATTCTTAGAAATTTTAATTTTAAGTAGTCTTCTCATTTATCTGGAGTTGTTTGAATTAGGGATGACAAAAATACTTGAACACGTGAGTACTCGTCAAAATACCTGCAATGAGTACCCGTAAAAATAGCTCATGGATGTGAACGAGTATCATGATACCCGCCTCACGGGTACCCACATATATATTTTAATTAAATATTATATACTTAGTTATTATTAATTTAACATTATATTTATTTATTTTATTATTAATTCATAATAAAATTTAGTGATGAGACGATAATCATAAAATTATCACATACATATAATATTATTAAAGTAAAAATTATTTTTATAGATTAATTATTGTAAAATATATAAAAATATAATTAAAATGGGAAACCCAATGGATACCCACAGATACCCGCTACCCACACAGGTATCCACAAATAGTGTGAGTATAGGTACAAGTATGCACCACCAGTGTCCGCCCGTGTCCGTTGTCATCCCTAGTTTGAATCCGTTGGAAATGGGCTGGACCATCGTCATTGCAATTGAGGCAAGACATGGATGGTGGTGTTTCATTGGAAGTTTGACTTTAGAGGAGATATGTCTTTCTTTGCCCTATTTGGGCTAACACCATTGTCCATATGCATCAATTTCATTTGATTTAATGTGAGGATATCATCCAAAGTCTAATTGTGGTTATTCTAAATGATTTTTAATGACATCTCTTAGCTTTGGGACCTCGAATTTTATTGTCCATTTCTTTTTTATCATATGGGTCATGTTTTATCCAACACTTTTATTCTTCCTTGGGTTGATATTTTTTTAGTAAGATATTTTTTTTTATCATATTTCAGGATATATTAATAGCAAACTAGATTTTTGTCATGCTGTTAAAACCTCTTATGGCTTTGATTACTTGGTCCTTAGTACCTCTACCATCACATAAACGTGTCATTGGATGTAATGGGTTTTTCAGGTCAAAGAAAATCCATATGTTAGTGTTAACAAGTATAAAGCAAGACTTGTTGAAATGTCAATAATGTCTTCCTAAATTATTTTCTTAATGAAGAGGTTTATATGACACAACCATTGGGCTTTCGACAACATGACAAAAATCTAGTTTGCAAGCTGCATAAAGCAATATATGGCCTTAAGCAAGCTTCAAGGCAATGATTTGAAATATTAAAAGGTTCAATGCTCAAACTTGGATTTCAAGTCAGCAAATGTGACAATTCACTCTTCATTTATGTCTCTTTGACTTACAAACTCTATGTCCTAGTTTATGTTGATGATATAATTGTCACATGATTCACCTCTTCTTATGTTTAGAAACTTGTAAAAGATTTGAGTTCCACTTTTGCACTAAAATAGTTGGACCTCTTGATTATTTCCTCGACATAGAGGTCAAACACAAGCAAGATGTCATTTTGTTTCTATATCAGTCCAAGTATATCAGAGATCTACTAGAGAGAGCTCACCTCCCTTCAACCAAGTCTCTCCCTACTCACAAACTTACAAAGCATGGTACAAATGTGTTTGAAGATCCTACTTTTTACATGTCTATTGTTGGTGCTCTACAATATGCCACTGTGGCCACATCTAACATTACTTTTTGTGTCAATATAGTATGTCACTTGTTGGATAAGCCTCTAAACTCTCACCAGACAGTTGTAAAGCGGATTCTCAAATATCTTCAAGGCACAAAAACTGGGTTTGACAATTAAACTAGCTAATGCATCATCTCCCATATCACTTGTGGCCTTATGTAATGTTGACAAGGCTTCTGACATATGTAACGACCCGAATTATACCCTAAATTTATAAAACTTTATTTATGAAAGCAAAACGATTACTTAACAAGTTAGAAAAACCTGTGTGAATATAAATATAAGTTAAGTCCATAATTCAAATGTGGAAATAATCAATAATATCACTTCATCAAAAACATATCATTACGTCTCATCTTAAATCCGTGCCTTATACAGTTATCCCTTCTCAATAATACTCTTATTAAAAACATTATATCAGTCTCCTTACAAATTTAATGAAAGTTCAATTATATAAAAGAGATACTTCAACATAGTCCTCATATTATATACCTTCACCAAACACCATGTTGAATACATAAAGTAACTACTCTAATTTGTACTCTTCTCAGCAAGTATCTGATACGCTACAGCTGCAACCCGAACTCAAATACACAACACATACAAGCAGAGACAAAATGAAGTAAGAACCAACTACAGTGACCGTAGCATGGAACCACACCATTTTAAATTTCAAAACACAGACCCTCTCACCTGGGCGAGATTCTCTCGCTCAAGCGAGAATCTCACAGCCTGCCCAGGCTTCTCTCGCTCAAGCGACCAATTCTTCGCTTGGGCGATGTTCCCAAAATTTCCAAAATTAAAACAGAGTCTCTCGCTTGGGCGAGGCCCTCTCGCTCAAGCGAGAATCTGGCAGTATGTCCCATTCTTCAGGACTGTAACCACATCTTAAGGATGATAATTTAGGGTGTTACAACATATGTAAGAACCCAAAATTCACCATTGAAAATTTTTCATTTCATTAAACCCTAGCGTCTACCGTATACAACTAGCTATGGGTTTCCAAAATACTCATGGATACATATATGCGGAATTGCAATCAATCGTATAAGTCATATATCCATAGTTACAAAATATTCCCAAAATAATTCAATAAGCACTCATATACAAAATAGTGCAAATAAAGAAATTCCAAAATATAAGCTCCCTAAGCTCCCCCAAAAATGAGTCCCCCTCATGTCACCTGTTTATCTGCAATGGGATTATCAATGACAAGAACACAAACACGCAAAGGAATAAGTCGTTAATTCAATAAACGTCATTATAAGATAATCCACATTAGAAAAAGGGGTTAGTAAACCATTTTCGAAATTCATTTTATCTTGCTGCATAACTTGAGCCAAAGTCGCTACACCCCTTAGGATTAGCTAAAAGCAGAATCTCGTTTATCTTAAAACAAATCACGCTTATATACTCAAGCCAGAGTTTACGCTTCTATACTCAAGCCAGAGTCGCTAACAATTCATGGTCGGCTAAAACATATTTTCCTTTCATCGATCTCCTCATAAATCATTTTCATGCTTCTATACTCAAGCCAGAGTGTATGCTTCTATACTCAAGCCAGAGTGTATGCTTCTATACTCAAGCCAGTGTGTATGCTTCTATACTCAAGCCAGAGTGTATGCTTCTATACTCAAGCCAGAGTTTACGCTTCTATACTCAAGCCAGAGTCGCTAACCATTCATGGTCGGCTAAAACATATTTTCCTTTCATCGATCTCCTCATAAATCATTTTCATGCTTCTATACTCAAGCCAGAGTGTATGCTTCTATACTCAAGCCAGAGTGTATGCTTCTATACTCAAGCCAGAGTATATGCTTCTATACTCAAGCCAGAGTCGCTAACCATTCATGGTCGGCTAAAAATGTACTTCTTTTTCATTCGTTTCACCATAAATCATTTCCGGTAAATCCACACCCACATTAGTATAAACACACCCATATATGTTTATACTAAATACGTGATTTACACTCAATCATCGCATAATCAGAAAGTACCACATACTTTCCTTTCCGTAAATCTACGCCTGCTTTAATGTAAACACACCCATGTATGTTTATATCAAATGCGTACTTTACGTATCAATCATTGCATAATCAGAAAACTCACATTTTCGATTCCAAATGCTCAATTAAAGACTTATCCTTACCTCGGTGAGTGTTGGGTTTGGTTCTTGACAACTTCTCAAGTTCCACCGCCACCGCCTCCAACTTTAGGATCTTTCCTCATCCCACCATATAACACAATGTTAGTCATTTATTCCAAATATCACATAAACAACTTATATTGCATTATTTAACCATACAAGATATTCATCATATTTTCAATGTTGCTAAACTATTTTCATCATAAGTTTACAACCATCTAAAACATACATATTCATCTCATATTTCAACATTAGAACGTAAACTCATTTTCTACCTTTAGCATTTTACCAATTTTTCACTTTAACCACATTATCCCTTTAGGGTTTTGGGGTTTTCATGAATCAACCCACAAACCTTTTCCATTCTCGAAATACTAATTCTAAACTAAGAATTTACAAGAGAAAAACACATAAAACGAACCATAACTCCAAAGGATGAGTTTCAATGGTTTCTCACATTTGGAGAAGAGATCCAACATACCCAAAATGAGTTTAAGAGAGAAGAAGAGAGTTAGAATCAAGAGTTTTACCTCTTCTCAAGCTCTTAGGTGAGTATCAAAACTCCTTGCCCTTGGAAAAGCTCTCTTCTCTCATCTCCCTTCAAAGTTTTTAACCTTAAAATGTGTTTGGGTTTCTGTTTTAAAGAGGTGTCGTCGGGCTGTAATCGATTACCAACATGGTGTAATCGATTACAACGTGAAAAATGTGCATATCTGATGCTTTTAATACGATGTAATCGATTACCAGGAGTGTGTAATCGATTACCATAAGTGTGTAATCGATTACCATAAGTGTGTAATCGATTACCATAAGTGTGTAATTGATTACACTGTGTCAGATGCACATATCTGATGCTTTTAATACGATGTAATCGATTACCAGAAGTGTGTAATCGATTACCAGAAGTGTGTAATCGATTACCAGAAGTGTGTAATCGATTACCAGCAGTGTGTAATCGATTACCAGCAGTGTGTAATCGATTACCAGCAGTGTGTAATCGATTACACTGTGTCAGATGCACATATCTGATGCTTTTAATACGATGTAATCGATTACCAGCAGTGTGTAATCGATTACACTATGTCAACAGCCCAAAATTGCCATTTCTCGCCCAGGCGAGACAACTCTCGCTCAAGCGAGGCTTCCAGGACTGTTACTATAATCTTGAAAACTAAAATTCGGGGTGTTACAACATAGATGACAGAAAGTCTACTTCTGTTGTTTGTTTGTATCTACGACCCAATCTTGTTACTTGGTAGTTAAAGAAGCAACACACTATCTGAGGATCAAGCACATAAGCTGAGTATAGAAGTTTAACTTTGGCTTCTCAAGAACTCATGTGGATTAAATGCTTCTCAAGGAACTCCCTACAATTTTTTGTCACAACTTGAATATTGTTATAATGTCACACAATCCACTATTACACAATATGACTAAACATATTGAAGTGGGTTTGTATTTGCAAGGGAAAAAATCCAAAACAACACTTTTAGTATAAAACAGATCCCTCAGGGTTTTAGATTGCTAACATCTTAACTAAGCCTTTTCCTAATACTCAGTTTGTAACTTTTTGAAATTAAATTCAAGTTCAAGATTACAATATAGAATAGCATTGGCTTAAGGGATATATTAGAATATTATAACTTTCTCTTATTCAAATTAATAATTGCCCTCATAATATTGTGACTTTGTTAAGTAGACTTTATTAGTTAGTTAGAAGGCTTTTCTTCTAACCTTTCTTTATTGTAGCTTATTTATATAAAGAGCTTAGCTCCTACTTTTCTATTCAACCTTTCATTAATACAAAATATACATTTCAACTCTCATTCTCTCCCTCCATTCTCTCTCTAGTTCATCATCTTCCACTTCCTTCTTTTTCTAGCTTTTATAAACATATTTACCTATTTTTTATTATCAAAACCTATGTTTGACTTATTTAAATGGCCTAACCATTTAGCCTAATACTTGTTATACTATATTTTTGTATGTATTTTATATTAAAATAACATATATATATATATATATATAATAATAGGGTGGAGATCCACTTACTCTTAGAGTATTAATTTTAGGGAAATCCAATTGTTTAGATCTACCCACTAATTCAAACCATTGAATTTCTATAGAATTGATGGCTAAGATGTGAAATAAGTTTAAAAAATTATTTTTGGAGTCAATGAATCTCTCCTCATAATAATATTACTTATATTTAAGATAATATTATATGAATATTATAATATAATTAAATAGGTCGATATCTTAAGCTTAATAGACATTTTATATGACTTAAAAATATAATATTTTAAATTAAATAGACTTTTTAAATAACTTGAGTATGACATATTTCCAGAAAAATTCTGATTTGACCTAACCTATTATAGATGAAGTTATAGGTCACTGATAAGTGATCAACCTATTTTCATCCTTAACTATCATAGTGATATTTAAATATTATATATGAACCCATAGTGACAACTAACATTATTCTTTTAATCTAAGAACCATATAACTAGAAAATAATTTTTTTATGTGAAATCAACTTTAATATTTAATTATTCTAACTTTAATTTAAGTCAAATAAATAAAAATATATAATATTTAAATATTGAAATAATAAAAGTTATATAAAATGATAGGGAAGAGAAATAGAGTAGTGTGATGACAAATTCAAATACTGAAAATCTCATCTCATTCCACATTTTCTTTGAACTACTACCCAATATCTAGATCTGAGAAATCTCCAATTCCAAATTCCAAATTCCAAATTCGAAATGATAATGAAATTCAAATTCATCTTGTTTTTCCTTTTGATCTCTCTATTCTCTTCAATTTCCATCGCTGAAATCCGTTCGTCCACTGTTAGAAACGATGACCGTCCGATTATCCCTTTCGATCAATTCGGTTTCACTCACACAGGTCGTCTTCAATTAACCGTTTCTTCAATTTCTCTCTCAAATTCAAATCTCGATCTTTCAAAATTAGGGTTCTTCCTCGTAACCCTAGATTCATGGCTTCACGTTCTTCAACAACTCGAAGATGGTGAGATCCGTTGTGCTCTTCAATCTGATCTTGTTAAATCTGTTTACACTTTTAATTCACTTAATGGAAAAAATCAGTTTTCAATTCTATATAATGAAACTGATTCTGATCAATATAATCTTGTTTTCGCTAATTGTCATCCTCAACAACTTAAGGTTTCAATGGATGTTAAATCTGAAATGTATAATCTTGATGGTAAAAGTGGTGTTCGTGATTATCTTTCTGCTGGAAGAACGATTTTACCTACGGTTTATTTCGTTCTTTCCTTGATCTATTTAGTGCTTGCTGTTATATGGATTTGTTTCTTGTATAAGAAGAGATTAACTGCTTTTCGGATTCATTTCTTTATGCTCGCCGTTATAACGTTGAAAGGGTTGAATTTGTTGTGCGAGGCCGAAGATAAGTCTTATATAAAGAAAACTGGTAGTGCTCATGGTTGGGATGTTGTTTTCTATATATTCAGTTTCTTGAAAGGGATTTCTTTGTTTACTTTGATTGTTTTGATCGGTACTGGGTGGTCTTTCTTGAAACCGTTTCTTCAGGATAAGGAGAAGAAGGTTCTTATGATTGTTATACCTTTGCAAGTTGTTGCTAACATTGCTCAGGTTATTATTGATGAGAGTGGGCCATATGGGCATGATTGGGTTACATGGAAGCAGATTTTTTTGCTTGTTGATGTTGTTTGTTGTTGCGCGGTGCTCTTCCCAATTGTGTGGTCCATTAAGAATCTTCGTGAGGCTGCCAGGACTGATGGGAAAGCGGCGGTTAATCTGATGAAGTTGACTCTGTTTAGGCATTACTATGTCGTGGTGATTTGTTACATTTACTTTACTAGGGTTGTGGTTTATGCGTTGGAGACAATAACGTCGTATAGGTATTCTTGGACTAGTGTCGTTGCTGCGGAGTTGGGCACACTCGCTTTCTATGTCTTCACTGGTTACAAGTTTAAGCCTGAGGCTCATAATCCGTATTTCGTCATCGATGATGAAGAGGAAGAGGCTGCCGTCGAGGCGTTGAAGCTCGAAGATGAATTTGAATTGTAATTTCGCTCGTAAAGTAAAAATGTTAGATGGTTGAAGAAGTGTTGGTATCGTGGTACTTAGCAATGTTCAGGTTTCATTTCAACAACTACAACTTTTCCATGTTATATTTTATGGGTATAGTAGTCAGTAGTAGTAGTATTGATAAATCATTATGGTATATTTTCTTGGTTCTGGACACATGCCGGTTCTTTTTTTGGATTAATATCATAAACTCTTGTGTAATGAATGCTGTGAATCATATATTGCTTCTAAGTTTTGATACAATTTTTATCACGATTCTTGTTACTTATTTTTAAGCTTCGAAGATCTTATCAATGTCGCTGCAACTTTGTCAACTTGCATAGAATTTTGTGCAACCATTACCACTAGGTCTTGTTTGAAAACACTAATCATCTATCTGCCTTCACATTTTTCACAACATTAGCATTAGAGTTTTGTATATGCATATTTAGATTTTGATGTGGAAATGTCATGTTAGCACACCCTGAGCTAATCATGTGTAAGAATCAAATGTCTAGTGATTGTGGATCTATCTGTTAGTAAAATGGATAATTAAATGGGTTATTTTCTTTACCCGAAATCGAGGATTTGAAATACCGCTTCAGGAATTGGAATTTCTGAAATCCTCCATTGAGATGCTTGGCACTCTTCTCTCATTGGTAATCCTTTCTCACTACACCTCCATGCTCTCTGCCATGGCATCTCATTTTAGCATGTACTCGAAACTCTCTTGTGGGGACTGGCTTCACCTTCATTGATGCTTTTTTGGTGAAATCTATGTTTGTTTGCTCTACATTTGTATTTGGTATAACTTATTATGCTCTTCCTTTGCATGCTACATGGATTTGTTCTTGTCCTGCTTCACTGTATTTGTTGGAATTGTTAAATTCCAATTTATATTCTCAAATTTGTTTATTTTGTCATTTGGATTCTATATGTTGGATGAGGCACAACCCTGGCTATGTGTTCTTGATGCTATAGATAGCCAGTCCTAACCTCGAATAAAAGGTGAAAGTTGTGCTAGGTAGTCGACAACTGACATGAAACTTTGTTGAATCTATGAATATATGAAGTTAGATGAGGCACATGATCTATATGATGGAATGTCTGAGTAAGGAGAAAAATAAGAAAGCATAGGTTAATTTATAAATATATTTTTCCTGAAGAAAAAAAGTCAATCAAGTGTTTATAATGGTCAGAACAATACAATTGTGAAAGCAATTATAAAAGCTTACAAATTATAAATATATTGAATACAAACTTATTTAATTTTTCAACATTCTACTCCCAATCTACCTTCCTACTATCAATATACCTTCAAAATATTATATATATATATATATAATATAATGTAGCAATATATATAAATATAGTTTGTCTGGTCTATGGTTTAGTTAGTGATTCACTCACTAGTCATACGAGTGGACCAGTAAATAATGATCATTGTTATCATACGAGTGAACTATATGTCTTATGGCTCTCATTAACATGATCATTTTAA